GCGAAAGAGTCACCTACAACTCTGAGCTTCTCTATGCAGTTTAAAGCTTTCACAATACACTTAATTTACCTTATATGCAAGGTATAGAGCTGATGTTCTGAACGCAGCATTTTTCTAGAACTGAAGTTTTCTAGATTTTTTTTCTAAGCTGGAAAGTTTATGAAATTACACAGGAGACATCACTATCAGCAAGATTAACACAGTCCTATAACTGCCCTTCTGTGGCATAGCTAATACTGGGCTTTGCTAAGCAGCTCAGCCAGTTTGTGTGGCCCAAATCTACATTTTGGTGTAAAAAGCAGTTTAAAGGCGGGTATTTGAGCGCCAAGTTTGGTGGCCGGCTAACGCAAAAGGAACATCCACCTTCCATGATGGACCCATCAGCCCAGGATGAGCACGGGCTCTGCTCACCTTTTGAGGGCAAAATAAAGCTTGCCATTGCTGGCTGAGAAAACATGAGTGCTCTGGGGGGTGATGGGGGGAACTGGAAATTCCACAGTCACGCTCCCAGGGATGAGAATCCTGGGGTTTGTGCTCAATGCTGAGCTGCTCTCAGCACCGAGAGGACAAGCGCGGTCTCCCGAGGGGCCCGTTCCTTCCCGCATGGACAATGGACAGGGATCCTGGACAAACCCGGAAGCGCTGGTGGAGGCAGCACTGGCACCTTGTGGAGGCTGCTCAGAGCCACCCTGCTGATTCCTTGGGTTTGAGCTCTCCTGCAGGCAGAGGGAAAACACTTCACTTGCCCAAAAGGGCTGTGAGGGTTTTGCTGTTAGCAAAATGCTGGATCTTGTGTTAGTCACAACAGGACAAATCCGGCGGTTTAATAGCAAAGAGCAGGAAAAACAGTAGTGAGAAGCTGCTTGAGCAAGTTGCCCTGCTTGCTACGTACACAAGCCTGAGCCACTCCAGACTCCAGCCCTGGCGTGGCCGGGATGAAGCCCTGGGATCATGGAAGCACAGGAGCTACAAGGAACACACTCCTAGGTCCCCCTGGCACAGGAGGAGACACAGCTTGAAGGTCTACAGCCACCTGTCCCACCTGCTGCTCCTCAGCACTGCCATGGACTGGGCCTGGCCACAATGCAGCTAGGAGGCTGCGTCCCTGCCAAGCAGGGCGCCAGCCCCGAGGCTTTCACCACCTCGAGGCTTTCACCACCTCGGTGCCGCTGCCTGCGTGACCGTCCTTCCCACCGTCCCGGCTGCAGGAACATGCTCAGCTGGAGCCTTCACCAGTTCCTGCACCACTTCTCTCAAGGCTAGAGCCAAGGGAAAAGGGGTAGATGAGCAATTAATGAGGAAATCCTTAGAAAGGCAAGCTGCCCCCATGGCATGCAGGTAAAAGCAATCGATGTATTGGAAAAAATCAAAGTCCCTGCAAGAATGTTTAGCAGTTTAAGGTCATCATAGCCCATCTGATGTAGTCAAATAGTACTGCGAGGCAAGAGGGTTCTACTGTTGTGACAGCGATCACCCATCACCAATGAACATGGGGGAAAGGCGGCATGAGGAAGCCCGGCCGCAGTTCCGAGACCTGATGTGGGCAGAGCTTCCCCGCTGGAGCCCCGGCAGGAGGCGGCCGCCTGGCCTGGGCGCGAGCCCGCGCGCTTCCCCTGCGCTCGCCTCGAGAACCGTCGCGCGTTTCCTGTGGTCTCGCTTGCAGGAACCCCGGCAGAGCCGCAGCGGGCACCGGCACGGAGCAGGGCTCAGCGCCCAGCCCCGGGCACCGCGCTCCTCCCTCGCGCTGCCTCTGCAGAGCCACATCGCGGAGATGAGGGGCTGCATCACAGCGACCCCAGCAAGGGGCATTTAAACACTTCAACCCGGCCCCTGCTGGGAATGCCCTGCCCTGGCAGCAGGGGAGACACTTAGCGGGACCTGGCACGAGAGCCCTGGGAGCAGCTTCAGCCCGAGCCCCTGCCCACCACCCACCCCTTCAGCAACAGCCCCCAAATGGCTCATTTCACTTCACCAGCTTTAGCTGATACACAGTCAAACAACAATTTTCAGCTGTTAGTTCCCTGCAAAACTAACTGTTTTTGGCAATACTAAAGTTAAATTGGTACCTGTAACAGCATTAATGCACTTGGAAGCAGCAGAGCCAGCCACATGTTGTAATTCCCTTGAGAATGGTAAAACCACAAGTACTGCAGCTACGTTGTCCTCATCAACATTTTCCTGCTCATGTCAGGGGAAAAAGCTAAGCCCCTTCCCAGCGTAGCTAAAGCTCCGGCTACAAGTTAAGGGTTCACTTAAGAGCTTCCCCTCACTTCAAAGGGGGGATGCAGGCTTCCCAAAGAGCACCAGGTACCTTGTCCTCCTCTTGGTTGTTCCTGCCAGCATTAGGAACAGCTGCAAACAGACACGTCCTGCTCCGGAGTCTCCCATTTTACATGCAGGCATTTAGTGCTCAAAGGCAAACAGCTCAGGGCTTATGCCTAGTGCTATTGTTTTAAGTTAAGCAACAAAACGCCAGCAGCCTCATTTATGCATCTTTGCCGGTGAGACCTTCCCTCATTGTGGGCTTTGGTATTTCAAAAAAAGATCATGTAACTTAAACCACCTGGTCTGCCCTTATCCAAAAGCAGGGCCAACGCCAGCCTGGTTATGGCATCGCTAGGAGTTTTATCAAGTTACCTCTAGGTTTATTACACCTCAAAAACAGATGCTGAGTGTCATGCTACCTAGTTTCTCCAGACACAAAAGACTGATCACAAAAGATTGAAATTTAAATTCCCTGAGTTGATCCTGGTTTAAGTAGAACATTGTTATTTAAGCTTATAGAATTAAGTTTATAGAATTAAAATAAAACAAACAAGGTGCTACACTGCTGTGATGCTAGGTGCAGCTTTAAGAACAAGGTCTTTTTAACTGAAGGAAAATGAGAACAAGCTGCAAGGCTTTGCTGATTTCAGTTCTACTTCCTGAACTAAGGACATAAAGACTAAGTAAAAAAATTTTAAAAAGCTGAACCAATCTGCTGGAATCTGAGTGAACAGCTTCAACTGCACATGCTGTCTCGAGCAAACCACATCCAGGTTAATCTTGATATTCTCCCCTGAAAAGCCACCCAAGCATTCCTGAGGCCAGTGAATTTTGCTCCTTGATCTAAAGGCTCAAGTCACTAGCGCTGAGGTTCTCAGAACCCTTCATAAAGTGCGCTGAGTGCAAGCTGTGCAGCACAACCTTCTCCCAGCCACTTGCAAATGGTGCAAATCATCATTTACCACTCAACTATCTCTCTATTTATACAAACAAGTCATGTTTAGCACCCAGAAAAGCCAACACACTGGAGGAGGATCTGCAGTAAGGCAGGGAGGTGAGCGAGGCTTTCAAATCCTTCTCACCATAAGACACAGAAGGCCACTTGCTCCCACCAGCAAGAGGAAGGATAACTTGTTAAGTTTTGAATTGCCTCCTACAAAGGGAGAGTCATCTTCGCCCGAGGGTTTGACAGGAGCTTTCTGGAGGACAGCGGTCTCCCATGACACGCGCTGTCCGTCAGCAGGCAGCGAGCACAAAGTTCAGCAGAAGACCAGGAAGTTGAGCCGAGGGCTGTTTGTCCAAGGCCGTGTGGCACCCAGGATCTGCAGGCCTTGGAAGGGCCATGTTCAGGCAGCTCGGAGAAATGTTTTAATGACAGCAAGGTTTCCCCGAGATAGACAACACGAAGCAGCCATCGGTCTTTAATCATTGATGCCGGCAGCAAGTTTATTGTAAACAGATACTCGCTGTGGCCTCCAATCCCCAGGCTTTGTTCTGCCCCCAGAGATTCTGGAAGGGAGTGTGACCGTCCCTCTGATCACACAGCACTCGTGCACGTCAACAGGGTCTGGAAGACGGCGCCGCCCTCCATCATGGGTTGCGGTTTAGAAAGGTTAAACACAACCTGCAGTATTTTCCCCAATGTAACAGCTGTCAGTGAAGTGCCATTTACTAAACTCCACCCTGGGAGACGGCAAAGCCCACCAAGATGTTCGCCAGCACCTCCAGAGCATTCCCAAAGAGGTTACTCCAAAGCACCCCCTTGCCTCATCCTCTCCAAGGAGAGGTCTAGAGCAACACCTAGACAGCACAGAGCTTTCACCAAGATTAAATGCCCTCAAAGCACCCAAGTGCTCAGCAGTTCCTCCCGCTGTGCTCATGCTGCTCAGCCTACTCCACCCGAGCTGCGAAGGGGCAGGAAGCGGCGCCTGGTGAGGCCTCCACGTGATCTGCTCGCAACAGCTTCGACGGGGCACTCTGCTCAATTCAGCGCTGCAGAGCAGGGCAGGAGCCCCTCTTGGGCTAGGGAAGCACAAGAGCTTTGAGAGGCCCCACGCGATCGAGTCTCACCCTCCTGCCACTGCAGTTCCCAGAACGGCGCTCTGCAAACCCACACCTGCAGCTCCCAGGTCTCCAGCCTCTTTCCATGGAGAGCCTGGCACAGAAGGCCTTGCTCCCTTCCATTCTATTAACAGATTCCTCAACTAGCCAACACACTGACCTCCAGCAAGCCTGGCACGCCCAGGGAGAGGGGTGACTGCTACAACCTTGTCTAGAACAAGAGACAGGAAGCAAGAGTGTTATGCAGCAGGCAGGGTCCTTTCCAAAGGGGCAAGTGGACATCTGGAGCTGTTACAGGTCAACTGGAAGGAACAACGTTATAAAGCTGGTTATAATGCTGATGCAGAACAGACCCGCCAATGCCTGCGTGCCCTTCCCTGCTCTTATCCCCATCCTGCAGGCACAGCCCTGCCAGGAAGTGTCAATTCAACACGGCAAGACTGTTGCCCAGCTACAGCCTTCCCTCCTCGAGGGCTCGGCAACTCTGAGCACCCTGCACTGAGGAGCAGCCTCCCCCAGGGCGTCTCTCCAGCTTCCCAGCAATGCCCCTTCGCAAGAAGCCGCTTTCTGCATCACTTTACAAAAAACCTCGGGTTTCTCTGGTAAGACACCCACAGAAGGAGCCCCTTGGAGCTGTCCCTACATAGGGGTCTGGCACTCTGCAGACAGCCCTGCACTGCAAAACTCACCGCTCTACAAGCGGAGCTGGGCTCCAGCCCTGTAAGCCACCAGCAATCTGCTGGGCCTTCATTCACCCATTACCCCCGTTACTGCTTTGCCGTTTTCAGCAACCACAGGAGCACGCCTGTTGTGCAATCTTGCCAAAATGTAACTTGAGTTCCTGGCCGCACCTCTTGCTTTTCACCAACTATCACTAACCAGCCAACAAGTACTCTGCCTGCTAACCCTGTTTGCTCCTGAGGGGGTTTTAGCAGGCCCAGAGGGCTGGCGGGCACAAGCAGGGCACACAACAGCCATGACCATGCAAGTCAGCGCCCTTAGAGAGAGGCTGGGGCAGCGCCAGGAGTGACACAGGGAGCATCTGAGGCAGGAACATCACACTTTAACGGCAAAAGGGCTTCAGGGACACCAGGACAAAGCAGCTTCGTTCTCCCAAGAGGCAGCAGCAGAAGGGGAGAATCCCCAAAGCAGTCTCCGGTGCTGACACGATGCGAGGCAGACGGCTGCTGTCCAGGCGCATTTTTGAGCGCTCTCAAACCTCTCCGGAGCCG